CCTACTACTACTCTCTCTCTCTCTCTCTCTCTCTCTCTCTCTCTCTCTCTCTCTCCGTGGGGCTTTTCACCCTTTAAGCTAGGAAACTCTTTATATATCTTTCTCACCAAATCTAATCCTTATCTTATACAATTTCAACAAAGAAACCACATTAATTATCATAATTTTATGGTTAATATCCATATTTTTTGAGAAAAGTTCTACCTCCCACTAATAATAATTATAAAATACTATAATGTCATATAAATCATAATTATATTATGTAATATACATATGCTAATTATTATATCATTTATTATTCAATAACTATATTGTAATTACACTGAAATATTAATATTATATCCAGATTATATATTTGTATTTTATAATGTATATTTATAATAATTAATTTAAATTCAGTGTAGTCTCATAATAATACTTACATGAATTTATTGTACTAGTATCAGAAATATTTGTAATTTAATTATGTTTTTAATCATTATATAATATTAGTAATTAACAACAATGCATATAATTTGAACTAATAATAATTTTTAACAACAATGAATGTAATTTGAACTAATTATAATTCTATTAAGTATTATAATAATCAATTACTATGATAGTTATAATTTTATGTAATAACAATAGTAATGATTCTATTAAAATAGTGCACCAATATGGTAATTAGTATTATGATCATTATATTTATATTAATTGAGAATGATAAAAAGAAATTTATTGTAATTCTTAATAATTAAAACTAATATACACAATCTTAATTATTACATATACAATTACCAAATGAGATTTTATACTATGAGACCATTTACCATTGTTACAAGGAGATCACAATCAGCCCTAGCCATTAGGATGTTAAATTAGATGGCTTGGGGTGTATCACAAAGTTTGAGAAATTTAGTTTCATGACCTTTGAATCTAGTCAATGACACACTACCACCCGATTTAAAATCTAATGGACAAGAGTGATTGTGATCGCTTTGTACTAGAAGTAAATGGTCTCTTTGTACAAATTTCCTACTAGATTTACAAATATATAATAACAATTACTATGTAATGTATAAAACAATTATAATTAGTGATTATAGATTATTATGAACTAAATCTAAAAAGCATTATAAAGTTTTATTAATTATAAAGTTATATTAATTATAAAGTTTTAACAATCATATTAATATTATATTAATTTATATAAAATATTAATATAATCCAACCATACTAATTATAGAATATTATTATTGTTACATAATTATAATATTATAATATAACTATAACAATAAAATGATGAAATTAATGTTTTAATAATATAATAATAACCGTTGGTTTTTTTTTTGAAATGTGTAAACCATTTTTATAATGTTTAAATAAAATTAGCATATTCAATGTAATTTATAATGTAAATTATCACATTGTAATTTAATAAAAATTAATACATAATTACTTTAATAAATATAACAATAGTAATTATGTAATATTATGAAACAAATACTATAATAGTAGTGGATAATATTGTTAATATTATGCATATATAGAACTTTTATTATAGTATAATTATTTATAATTTCCACAGTAAATGTACTATACTATGCATTGTAATATTGATAATTTTCTAATTATAATTACAAAATAATATGATCCGTAGTTGTTAGTTAGATTGTATTGTATGGATACAATTTTATTTATTTTTAATACAATTGAACTACAAAAGTAGCACTACAATTTCTAGTGCATGACTTTGTTTCTTATGATGGTGAATTTGTTTCTTCATATTTTTATTTAATAATTTTTATGTAGAGTTTCATGATTGCATGTTGAACAATGAGAGTGTATGAGTTATTTGACAATGTTACCTTAAAGAGTTTTATTTAGTTTTTTGTTTGTTGCATTTGTTTTTGACCACCGTGCATATAATACATTTTCTAATAGAAAAAATTACATATAACAATTATATAATTCAATGTCATTAGAATTCTAAGTATTATATGATTATCATTATTATACATGTAACAGTGTTTCAAAAAGCAAACTGCCCAGCACCTAGGCGGTCCAGAAGGCAAGGTATCTTCGGGCGCTCGCCTCAACCCGCCTAGGTGCCCGCCCGAGCGGCCGCTCAGGCCTGCGCCCCGCCCAGGGGTGAAAATGTCGATCATTGAGGCCATTTTTTGGTCATTTTTTTTAATACTAAAGATGTAAAATTGTCGGTTTTAGGTTTCAAAGGAACCTAAAACCCATTAGAAGCTATTTTAGAGAGAGAAAAAATGTCTATTTTTACGATCATAATCATTTCTACAAAATCCATTGATTTTATTTTTTGTTCTCTATTTCCAATGTCTACCATGATTAACAGCGTATTTCATGTTCTTTAATTCTGCATATAAATTGATTCACAAGGAGTGACAATGTCCTGGCCGTGGATCCTATAGGGCCACCCCGAGCCAGAGCTCACCCGAATAGACCCAGAGAACAAAAAGAAAAGAAAAAAAGGGCAGAACCTGTCATGGCCCTGGCCTAGGCCTAGGCCCAGGCCCGGCCCAGCTCGTCCATTGGGCCATAGTGGCCAGGTCCTAGTCCAGTCCTTAGCCACATTTTGTGGCCTAGGCCCTAGTTTATTAAGGGCTACGCTGACTAGGCCATTGCCAACCCTATTCACACCTAGCATAAAGATAGAAAAATCATTATATTTTAATTATTCACTATAACTTATCTTAGAAAAAAACAGTTATATCAATATTACATTTTGTATAACCATGTATTGAGATCAGCGAAGCAGGTGAATTCCTTGTGCACAAATGAGGAATAGCAAAGGCTCACCTCCTCAGGAAGATCAAAATTGGGAGGTCTACTATGAAATGGCACACTAGGTACATGTTGTACTCTCGATAGCTGCTCCAGCAACACAGCCCTGAAAATCCAGGTGATAGCCAGAAAATTAGATTAAGCAATGGATGTGAGGCTTTTTATGTAGCTGATTTTTTAAAAAAACAGCAATCAAAAGCTGGATTTTTATGATAAGTATCAATTTTTCCTTCTTGTTCAAAGGATCGGCTGATTTTAAAAAAATCGGCCAACTAAATCGGGGTCGGTCACTGCCCGATCCCGATTTGTCCCAATTCCGACAGTCATGTATTCTGAATTTTTTTTTCAGTACACTAATTGACCGATTTTTTGAACTAATCGGTACTAATCGGCACAAATGGGCCAATTAGTTTTTTTCAAAAAATTGCCCGATTGTGCACTATTCCAATGTGACTTTTGAACACTGTCATCTATTATTGTAAAGATTGGTGTGGGCTCTATTATTGTCCATTTTCTCTTCCCAATGTTGTGAAAAGACCTTGTGAAGAATCTCCATCATTGAGATGGAGATTTTTGTGCTTTGTTGGGTTCTCTTTCTCTCTCTCTTACTCTCTCTCTGTCTCTTCTCTCTCTCCCTCTCTCTATCTGTTGGGTTGGGGCAGGTCCCTATCCAACCTCTCTCTCACCTCTCTCTCTCTCTCTCTCTCTGGAACTATTGGGCAGGGGACTGCCCAACCTCTCTCTCCCTCTCTCTCCCTCTCTCTCTCTCTAAATGTTGGGGCAGGGACCTGTCCCAATCTCTCTCGACCCCAATGTCTCTCTCTCTCACTATTTGGTTCTCTTTCTCACTCTCTCACCTCTCTTCTCTCTAACTGCTGGGGAAGGCCTGCCCCAAAGTCTCTCTCATTCTCTTTCTCTCTCTTTAATGAGTTAAAGTTTGGGTGCCTAAACAATATTACTTCAGGTGCCTAAAATTTTTTTTCCGATATCCAATTATGCCTATAATATATTTTTGTTTTGATTTTTTTATATGACAATATAAATAAACAATACATGTAAATTCGAAATATTTTTTATAATTTTTTACAAGTTTTTGGGATTTTTTTTGGATTTTTTTAGATTTTTTACCAAAATTGCATTTTTCTGGAAAAAAAGGGGGTACTAATTGGCCGATTTAGTTGGAATCGGCCCGACTAATCGGATCGGGCTAGGACCGACTAGTCGGCCAGATCAGTTGTTTTGAACACTGTTTTTCCTTTAAGCTAACAAATAGAAAGTCGTAATCATAAAATTACTATAGCATAAAGAAGATCATTTTGGTTTTGTGCTGTTTGTCTGGTTTCCTTTCCTTTTTGACGAGTAAAACACGTGCTCCTAACATGCCAAGAATCAACAAACAGGTCTAAGCAATACACTCAGAGAATTGCAGTGAAGAGTCCACTAGAAAAAGCATCAAATGATATAAGAGGAAAAAACAAGTCCGAAGTCCATTTCTATAGTAGAAGAGAGTGGGTATACCCTTTGAAAAGCATCTCACAAGCACCTAGTTGAGAAGCTTGCCACAAAAATAATTGCAGCAAGGTTCCACACATGCACAGGAAAGGGAAATGACGGATTTCTGAATATTGAATAATAAAAAACAACGCAAACTAAGATGCCCAAATATAGATATGGTTGCAGCCATGAATATGGGGAGAATAGACACAATTCGGTATTTCCCTAAATCCAGAGTAAGGATACTTGTATCCTATCTAAAATATTGCTACATATGTACTACAAATGATCATGACACATATTATAAACATATAATAAACATATATTGTATATAGATATTATATTTTAGCAACATCACATTCAAGTTCTCAGTAGATATTTTAGCAAATGGAAAATATCATGTTTCATCCCCTTAAATCTCGGGGTTTCAAAATAAATTCAACACTAATTCCATCTCAGGCGCCGTTCTGTTTTCCTGCTCCTTATATCCAACCCCGTTCTGTACAACTTCCCCTATCTTTTATTATTTGTTTTCCAAAATAGCCCCTTTCAATATTCTAATTCTCCATCTCTAGAATCCTCTCTCCAAACCCTATATTTCTCTCACATTCCAACAGTGAGTAGTGCAGGAAATCTCTTGTAATTGTAAAGTGTTTTTCTCTGTGCCATAAAAAGCAGCGAGTTTAAGATGAGAAAGAAGACAAGGGGTCCCACTCTCTGTATCCTTAATAAGCACCGGCCAAAAAAGCAGAGTTGGGAAGAGAGAAATATAATGATAGATAGGTAATGAAGAGGGGTTGGTTTTCTTTCTGTAGAAATATGAAGAGAGCGGAAAGGGAGAAGAACTTGGGGATAAGTGAAAGCCTGGGGAAGAAGTTTTTTGTGAACCTGGAAATGGTGTGGCTCTCGGTGAAAGTGGAAATGAAGAGGTAAATGGAAACCAAAAGGAAAGCCAGAGTGCAATATAGAGATAGGGTTATGTTTCTAATTGGAATTGGGTCCTGACCAGACAGCAAACCATGCTGACTTTGAAGTAGGGACTATTTCGCTACTTTTGCACAAGATCAATCTCTCCTATATCCCATTGAGTTGTTTACACGACATGGGTCTCTTTCTCTATAGAGGCTTTTGCACTAGAAACATCTCTTTATAGAAGATGAGCCTCCCTCTCGAGGGGTTTTGCAGTCTCACTCTAGCCTTTGAACAAGACCGGCTCTCTCTCTCTCTCTCTCTCTCTCTAGAGGCCTTTTGAAAGAGGGGTCTCTCTCCATGTAGAGTGACTCTGCAAAACCATTGACCTTTCCTAGAAACTTCCGGGATGCCTCAGTTAATTCTGAATTCCACCTCATATAGTTTGAGAAGGGAGATAGAGAGAGAGAAGGCTCATACCCAAGATGGGTCTTTATACTAAAGGCCCCATAGCTCATGAGCATGTCCTCTTTCAAGAGAGAGAGAGAGAGAGGAGTCATTTCTTTGTGATATTTATATCATGCGGGCCTTCTATGCAGGATGTCCCTAGGCGCCTGTCCAGGGACCTTGGAATGCCCAGTGCCTAGCCCTAGGCGAGCACCCTGGGGCTACACCTGCATACAGGCAAAATGCCCCTCGGGTGGGGCATTCCTAACAATTTTCCCCCAAATAAAGCTGCCCCAGCTTTTTTTAATGATATGACTGAAGACTCCTGAATCTTCAAGTCTATTTTTTTTTTTTCCTTATTTTCTCCCTTTATGTGCTTGGATTACACGATGGTACGGACTATGGATTATGGATTGTGATTGTGTTGTATTTTTAGTTGTACTAGTACTTTGGTTTGGATCATAGTTGTTGGAGACAGAGTGAGTCTATGGAGGATTATGGATAATGTGTATGGACCTATAATATGGAATGGTATGGAACTACAATGTCAAAGATTGGTATGGATTACGGTTAGGTTAATTGGCTATGGATTGAGTTTTTTTGGCAGTACCATAGTACTTTGATTTGGATTTGGCACGATTCCACATAAAAATGTATAAAAATGCCTGACCATGCATTTTTTATACAAAATTTGGTCTCTAGACACACCCTAGCCCCTGTTTAACCTAGGCAGCCATGTCCTTGGACACCTGCCTAGACGCTAGAGAAGAGAGATGGACACTACTGATGGCCATCGATATCCAAGACCCCAGGTCCGCCATACACATAATTTCTTAGTCGCATGTTTTGATCATACGACACTTATGGTTGATTTAGTATATCCAACCAGATTAACTTGGAGGTTGGCATTCACCATACTCACGCACACATCTTCAACTTTTAAAGGAAGATGGATGCAGGTGTAATTCTAAAGACTCTGCTGGTAATCAGCTCGTATACAAATCGTTTCAAACTCCAACCCAAAAAAGATGTTTCTCCGCTGTATATTGCATCTTACATGAGTTCTTATAAGAAAGAGAAGTAAAACTCAGCAAAAAAGAAAAGATGTTGTTCTTGTCCACATAGAAAAGTCTGTAATTTTCTATCTAAGTGAGCTTAAACCGCGTTCCATTTAAAAGAGATCTTGCCTTTGCCTTTGATAATCCTGCCACTCCTATTCGTCGAATATGGATGTGCTCGACACCACCAACTACAATCTGGAGTCTAAACTAAACCCTTACCCTTTACAAACCCAATAAACCAAAGGAGCAGCCGCCAAGATCAAAATCTAACTTTAAAATCACGTTCAAAGGCAACCTTGCACACCTCCTAGGCCCACACTTGGTGCTTCACTACTCACTATATTGGTGGTCGACACCACCAACTACAACTTGGAGCCTAAACTAAACCCTTACCCTTGACAAACCCAAGAAACTGAAGGAGCTGCCACCAAAATCAAGATCTACCTTTAAAATCCCTTCCAAAGGCAACCTTGCACTCCTCCTAGGTCCGACACTTGGTGCTTCACTACTCACTATATATTTTCATTTTCACACAAAATCCACAACTGCCACTCCTCTTTGACTAGTGGCAATGAGATAATGTACATTTTGGGGCAAGTTTGGACCACTGCGCTAGGAGTATTCGTAATATGACTATTATATAATACAGGAAAGAAGGGATTCCTTTCCCCCCGATATTTCTGTCAGTCCCTATTTTGGGAAGTTTTCCACACAAGTGGGGTTAAAAATGGGACGGATGCAAACATGTTGTGGAAATATTGTCCACACAAGCGGGGTGAAAATATGGTAAGAGTTTCTATTTAGTAAGCCATATGAATACACCCTTGAATTCTATCACCAAAAAAAATAAAGTGTACTTGGATTTCATTTGAATTTAAATCCTCTCACGCAAAACCATGGGCAAGATTGCCCATGTTTTCAAAACTAAATGCCAATGTCAATTTCCAAAGTGCAGCACTAAGTTTTAAAATACAAATGACCAGTATTGCAAGTCATAGAAGCAGAATGCAATATCCCAAAACAACCCCCAGCCCAGCCCCCCCGCCCCCTCTTCTCCCTCTAGCACAGTGTTTCAAAAAGCGGACCGCCCAACGCCTGGGCGGGCTGCCTAGGCAATTCTGGGGGCCTGAGCGCATTGCCCAGAACTAAACGGGAAAAAAAAAAGAAAACCCTGGGTGCCCAAGAATCCGCCTAGGCGGCCACCCAAGGCTTGCATTCCTCCCAAAGGCGGAAATGAGTTTTGGTAGGGGCATTTTTTGTCCTTTTTATTTTATACTAAAGGGCCAAATTTTTTGTTTTTAGGTTTATTTGTAACCTAAAACATATTAGAGATCATTTTAGAGAGAAAAAAACCCCAAAAAACCAATTTTTGGTGATTTCATTAGGATCGAAGGGTCAAAACATCATCCATTGATATTAGATTTAATTTGTGATATTTTATAAATCTATTGGAGGTTTTTTAGAAGATTTGGAGTCTTTAGAAGCATCTTTGAAGTGGAAGTTTAGCGATTGAGCAATCAAAGTAAGTGATTTTTTTTATTATTTGTATAAGATGTATTATTTTGAGATGTCTTCTTCGGGATATGATAGGAGTGGTGATCCCGGTTCGAAATATGGCTACAACCCAGATCCTAATGATAAAAATTGCATGAGATGCAAATTTTGTGAGAATGATACAAAAGAGGGCATAAACCGGTTCAAGAAACATCTTGCTGGTATCAGGGGGGATGTTGCCCTATGTAAAAAGACTACTGATGCTGTTAAAGAGGAAATAACCAATTTTTTGAGAATGGTAAAAATGAAAAAAGATGAGAAATTTGCCTCCATAGCAAAGATTAATATGGGGTTCAAGTCAGTTATGATGATGATGATAGTGATGAAGATGGGGAGGGATGTTAAGAGTTAGAACAATCCATTATTAGGGGAAAGGGAAAGGGAGTTGTAATTGGTTCTGGTTCTTGTTTTGGTTTTGAGAGTAAGAAGCCTCGAGTTAGAGGCCCTATGGATAGTTTTTTGCCCCGACCTAACCCTAAGGTTGCAGGAAAGAAAACAAAGAAGCAAACCACCATTGAAAATAGAATGAAGAAGAAAGAGAGAGATAGAGCTGTTTTTTATATTGCTACATGGTTTTACGAAGTGAGCATTCCTTTCAAAACCGCTCGCCTAAGAAGCTTCTATGCCTTGGTAGAGGCAATTGGCCAATTTGGGCCTGGGATGAAACCCCCAACCCCATATGAGCTTTCAAAGCCTCTTTTGAAAAAAGCGGAGCTTGTCACGAAGGATGTTGTAAAAGTTAAGAATGATGCATGGGCTCAATATGGAGTTTCTATTATGACTGATGGTTGGAGTGATAGGAAGAGAAGAAGTCAGATGAATTTGCTTGTGAATTGTCCTTTAGGGACTGTTTTTTTTTAGGTCAATCCATGCATCTGATTATACCCATAATGCCCATTACATATTC